GTTCATGCCACTGCAGTCCAGCCTGTGGACAGAGTAAAGACCCTGTCTGGAAAAAAAAAAAAAAAAAAAACAGGGCCAGGTGTGGTGACTTACACCTTATAATCCCAGCACTTTGGGAGGCTGAGGTGGGCAGATCACCTGAGGTCAGGAGTTTGAGACCAGCCTGGTCCACATGGTAAAACTGCATCTCTACTAAAAATACAAAAATTAGACAGGCATAGTGGTGCGCACCTGTATGTAATCCCAGCTACTAGGGAGGCTGAGGCAGGAGAACTGTTTGGACATGGGAGGTGGAGGTTGCAGTAAGCTGGAACTAGGCTGCTGCACTCTAGCCTGGGCAACACAGCAAGACTCTGTCTCAAAAAAAAAAAAAAAAAAGGACAAAGGCTAAGGCTCTGAATAGACATTTTTCCAAAGAAGATAGACAAATGGCCAATAAGCACGTGAAGATGTTCAACATTATTGGCCGTTAGGGAAATGCAAATCAAAATCAGAATGAGATAACACTTTACATTCATACCCACTAGGATAGCTATGATAAAAAAGACAAGTAAGGCCAGGTACAGTGGCTGACACCTGTAATCCCAACACATTGGGAGGCTGAGGCAGGAGGATCCCTTGAGCCCAGGAGTTCAAGACCAGCCTGGACAACATAGTGAGATTCCCATCTACAAAATATTTAAAAATTAGCCAGGTGTGGTGGTGTGCACCTGTACTCTCAGCTACTCAGAAGGCTAAGGTGGAAGGATCCCTTGAACCCCAGAGTCGGAGTTTGCATTGAGCTATGATCATACCACTGCACTCCATCCTCTGTGATAGAGCAAGACCCTGTCTCAAAAAATAAAAAATAAAAAGACAGATAATAACAAGTGTTGGAGAAGATGCAGAAAAATTGGAACACTCATATGCTGCTGGTAAGAAGGTAAAATGATACAGCCACTTTGAGAAAGTCTGGCAATTACTAAAAAGCTAAACATAGAGTTGACATATGACTCAGCAATTCCACTCCTAGGTACATACCCAAGAGAAGTGCAAATGTATGTTCATATAAAAACTTGTACATGAATGTTCATAGCAGCATTATTCATAATAGCTAAAATGTGGAAACAGTCCAGGCATGGTAGCTCACACCTGTAATCCCAGCACTTTAGGAGGCCAAGGTGGGAGGATCACTTAAGCTCAGGACTTTGAGCAGCCTGGGCAACCTAATGAGACCTCGCCTCTATTTAAAATTTAAAAAATTTTAAGACGAGCCAGACATGGTGGCATGCATCTCTAGTCCCAGCCAGCCACTCAGAGGCTGAGGTGGGAGGATCACTTGAGCCCGGGAGTTTGAGGCTATAGTAAGCTATGATTGCACTGCTGCACTCCAACCTGAGTGACAGAGCAAAATCCTGTCTCAAAAAAAAAAAAAGGAAAAAAAAAGAAATGACCCAAATTTCTATCTACTGATGAATGGATAAACAAAATGGGGTATAACCATACAGTGAAATATTACTCAACCACAAAAAGGAATGAAGTTCTGATATGTGCTACAACATGGATGAACCTTGAAAACATGATGTTAAGTGAAAGAAGCTAGTCACCAAGGACCACATATTGTATGATTCCATTTATATGGAATGTCCAGAATAGACAAATCCACTAAGACAGAAAGTAGATCAGTGGTTACCTAGGGCTGGGTTTGGGGTGGGAAGATTAGGGATGATGGCCAAGGGGTGTGGGGTTTCTTTTTGGGGTGATAGAAATATTCTAGAATTAGGGCGAGGGTTGCACAACTCTGTGAATATCCTAAAAGCCATTGAATTGTAACACTTTAAATGGGTGAATTGTATGATATGTGAGTTAAATTTCAATACAGCTGTGAACAAAAAAGGGTCCCAAGTGATCTGAAAGGGAGACATAGTCGATATTTGTCAACTTCTCTCCCTGTTCTGCCCTTGGATTCCAAGCCCCTCTAACTAGCGTTGGGGTGTCCCCTCGTTGTCTAGCTTCTCACAGTTAGCAAGCTCCAGATGTGGACAGATGGGGGCTGGAACCCCTCTGGGCTCCAGTAAAACTTCAGTAAAACTTCAGTTTGTGGAATACTGAGGCCTGAGAAGTCCAAGTCTGAGCCTGCACATTCTCAGGCAGAGACAATGGACAATAGCGGGGGTGTTTGAGGGGCGTGGGGGGAGATTTTCCCTAGGTGGTTCATCCACCCCTGAGACAGGAAGACTCAGAGGAAGCAGGAAAGGTTAGGGGAACCCTAATGGGAAAGAGGCTGGGGAGGGGCAAGGAACTCCAAGGGAAGAGAGAAGGACTTGGCCACAGCCCTGACTTTTCTGCTCCAGGTGAGAGCCTGGTCCTTTGTGAGGCCAGAGCTGCACCGGGGGTGGGAGGTCACACCACCAAACCAGCTGAGGTCTGGTTTGCATGGTAGGGGTGCAGCTCTAACTGCAGGAAGGACCTGGAGGACAGGAAGAGGAAGTGGGGACTTGGGTCAGCAGCTATTAAGTGCACCTCCTCTGTGTCCCTGGTAAACTGTGGGAACCGTCAGGACACCCAGTGTATCCCCCAAGGCCTGACGTCCCTAGCACGGGCACATGTCATTAAATGGTTATTGATTGCACAAGGAAATGAATGTAGACATTCTTTGTAGACAAAATGATATGGTGAGATGGGCGGCCGTGGGAGTCAGACAGGCCTGGGTTTGAATCCAGTTCCTCTGCAGACTGGCCATGTGGTATTGGACAAGACATTGCTCGGAGCCTTAATTTCCCTATCTTTAAAACAGGGCTGAACCCACTGACCTCACAGGGGCTGCTAGAATACTGTTTACAAAGATTTCCAGCACACAGAAGATTCTTCCATGGATGCTGGCGGGCCTGCCATGATATAAAGTGGAAGAAGCACCATCAAGATCTTGAAGGTCATACGGTCTCACTATGGGAGGAAGGGGTGTGGGGTTAGGATTTACTCCTGGAAACTAGTTAACAGTGAAAGGGGATCCATGTACCCATAGAAATGGCGCTGATGTTGCCTCAAAGGAATTCAGTGGCTGGAGAGAGAGCTGAGACGGTTGGAAACTTGGAGAAGAGGGAGGAGCTTGAAGACTGGGTTGGGGGCTATTAGAAAGATAGAAAAAATGGGAGGTGGGCACAGAGGCTGGGATCTGTGGGACTAGGATTGCAGGAGCCTGCCTGGATTAAAACAGAAAATTTGTGTAGGGAGTGGTGGCACAGCTGAATATGAGGTTGGATGAAAGAGGTGGAGGAGAGACAGTAAGAAAGCCTTTAGAAATGGCCAGGTGCGGTGGCTCACCTCTGTAATCCCAATACTTTGGGAGGCTGAGGCGGGTGGATCACTTGAGGTCAGGAGTTCAAGACCAGTCTGGCCAACCTGGTGAAACCCCATCTCTACTAAAAATACAAAAATTAGCCGGGCATGGTGGCGGCCGCCTATCATCTCAGCTACTAGGGAGGCTGAGGCAGGAGAATTGCTTGAACCCGGTAGGCAAAGGTTGCAGTGAGCCAAGATCACACCACTGCACTCCAGCCTGGGCAACAGAGCAAGACTCTGTCTCAAAACAAAACAAAACAAAAAACAAAAAGAAGAAGGCGGTCAGGCGTGGTGGCTCACGCCTATAATCCTAGCACTTTGGGAGGCCAAGGCGGGCGGATCATGAGGTCAGGACATCGAGACCATCCTGGCTAACACGGTGAAACCCCATCTCTACTAAAAATACAAAAAATTAGCCGGGCGTCGCGGCGGGCGCCTGTAGTCTTAGCTACTCTGGAGGCTAAGGCAGGAGAATGGCGTGAACCCGGGAGGCGGAGGTTGCAGTGAGCCGAGATCGTGCCATTGCACTCCAGCCTGGGCAACTGAGCGAGACTCCATCTAAAAAAAAAAAAAAAAAAAGAGAGAGAAGAAGAAGAAAAGAAAAAGAAAAAGAAGGGATGTGTCCAGGGCAGGGTGTGGGTGCTTTGGTGAACTGCAGATTGCCACTAGAGACCCTGGGGCCCTGAGACAGATGGACAGATGTCCCCAGTTCCTGTTCCTTAGCTCCATTTAAGAACATGGAGTTTTCATCTATAGCAGGAGCAGCTGTGACATTCTTGGACTCTCTTTAAAAGGCACATTAGTATTTTAAAGGCTCTGAGAAGTTGTACAGGAAAGAGCCTGTATCATTTTGCTTATCACAGCACTTTCTTTTTTTTTTTTTTTTTTTTTTTTTTTTGAGACGGAGTCTCGCTCTGCCGCCCAGGCTGGAGTGCAGTGGCCGGATCTCAGCTCACTGCAAGCTCCGCCTCCCGGGTTCACGCCATTCTCCTGCCTCAGCCTCCCGAGTAGCTGGGACTACAGGCGCCCGCCACCTCGCCCGGCTAGTTTTTTGTATTTTTTAGTAGAGACGGGGTTTCACCGTGTCAGCCAGGATGGTCTCGATCTCCTGACCTCGTGATCCGCCCGTCTCGGCCTCCCAAAGTGCTGGGATTACAGGCTTGAGCCACCGCGCCCGGCCTATCACAGCTCTTTCCAAAGGCATTTAGCCTTGGAACCCCATGGAGCATCTCAAGGGACCAGTATGCCAAAGAATACCCTTTAGGAAATGTCGCAGACAGGGAAAGTGCCTGGGTTTTGGGATTCAACAGGCCATAGTTCAAATCCTCGTCTGCGACCTAGCAGGTGTTGGATCTTGGGCAAGTCTTGTGCCTTCCAGAGCCCCTTTTCCTCAGGGTCATTGTGAGAACTAGGAAAAGCATGTGGGTAAATGGCACGTGGCTAGCTCTCTGGTTTTAATGCATGCCTCTCCTTGCGAGAACCCGGTAGGCAGAGGTTGCAGAGAGCCAAGGCCTGGCCCCGCCTCTTCCCTCCAGCCACGCTGTCTACATTACAGGCTCCACATGGGCTCCTGAAGCAGCAGTTAGGTGAAGGGCCTGGTGGGAAGCTTGATTGGATTTCTCCTGTAGGAGCACAGTAGCTGATGCCCCTCACTTGGCACCTGTGTTGACCCTGGCATCATGGACAATAGAAACACCCAGATGTACACAGAGGGTAGAATCAAGGTTCCAGGGACCCAGCCAAGCCCTGGCCTGAGGATCACCATAAAGCGGGCTGGTGTTGAGCCCACCATACCAGGAGTCAGCCAGGTAGGGACCTGCACCCAATGTTCTGATCCATTCACTCCTAGCTGGCACCTTTCCCTTCCCCTGCCCAGGCTTCCTCCCCAGCTGCTTTAATTAAGACTCTGTTAAAAATGGACACAAAACCCAATTCAAACTGGATTAAGCAGAAAAGAGAATACATCAGTTTGGGTAACTGACAAATGCATTCATAGACTTCAGGTGTGGCTAGATCAAGGTGCTAAATGAGTATCTCTTGGCTCTATGTTGCTCTGTGTTGGATTCATTCTCAGGCAAGCTCTCCCTGCAAGATGGCAGGGATTGCCCTGGCCACTCCAGGATTACATCTTCCCATCTTACATACTCTGGTTTAGCATTCCAACAGGAAGTGAGCCTCTTTGCAACAGTTGAAGCAAGTCTCTAGCATCACTGTCATTGGCCCAGATTGTGGTCAGATGCTCACCCTCAAACCAGTCACCATGGCAGTGGGGAGTGGTCTGGATCTCTTGATACAATGGAGACAGAGGTGATAGGTGGCTCCACTGAGCCCCATGGGCTGAATGGAGAAGAGAAGCTTCCCAAAAACAATGCTGGCTTCTGTAACGGAAAGAGCTAAAGGGTGAGCAAACCCAGAATTGCCTATTTGCTCTTCTAGGTGCCTTCCATGGCCTCCAAACTCCCATTGCAGCCTCCAGCCCAGCTTTATTCTCCTGACAGCTACTCAGGGCTTCCCTCCATGTCCCTCCACAGCGCCCAGCCTGCATCCTAAGCTTCCATCACACCTCTCAGCCTCTTTCCATCAAATATGTTTCTTTGTTTGTTTGTTTGTTTTTGAGACAGGCTCTCACTCTCTCACCCAGGCTGGAGTGCAGTGGCATGATCATGGCTCACTGCAGCTTTGAACTCCCAGGCTCAAGCAATCCCCCTGCCTCAGCCTCCTGAGTAGCTGGAACTATAGGCGTGGTATGTGCCACCACACCAAGCTAATTTTTTATTTTTTTGTAGAGACAAGGCTTTATCATGTTGCCCAGGCCGGTCTTGAACTCATGGGCTCAAGTGATCTGCCTGCCTCAGCCTCCCAAAGTGTTGGGATTATAGGTGTGAGCCTCCATGCCCAGCGTATTTTTTTTTTTTTTTTTTTTTGAGACAAGAGTCTTGTTCTGTCACCCAGGCTGGAGTGCAATGGTGTGATCACGGCTCACTACAACCTCTGCCTCCTGGGTTCAAGTGATTTCCATCTAATTTTTTTGTATTTTTAGAAGAGATGGGATTTCACCATGTTGGACAGGCTGGTCTTAAACTCCTGACCCCAACTGATCCACCCACTTCGGCCTCCCAAAGTGCTAAGATTATAGGTGTGAGCCACCGCGCCCTGCCAGCCTCTTTTTGAATGTACCAAGTAGCATGAACTGAAGAGCGTAAAGACGAGCCTCCTCCCCATCCTGTTTCCTCAGGGCCAAAGATATCACCATTTAAAAAATCAGCCAGTCGGGCGTGGTGGCTCATGCCTATAATCCCAGCACTTTGGGAGGCTGAGGCGGGTGGATCACCTGAGGTCGGGAATTCAAGACCACCCTGACCAACATGGAGAAACACAGTCTCTACTAAAAATACAAAATTAGCCTGGCCTGGTGGTACATGCCTGTAATCCCAGTAACTCGGGAGACTGAGGCAGGAGAATCGCTTGAACCTGGGAGGTGGAGGTTGCGGTGAGCAGAGACTGCACCATTGCACTCCAGCCTGGGCAACAAGAGTGAAACTCCGTCTCAAAAATAAATAAACAAACAAATTAATTAATTAAAATGAAAAGTCAGTCAGGTGCCGTGGCTCATGCCTGCAATCCCAACACTTTGGGAGACAGAAGTGGGCGGATTGCTTGAGCCCAGGAGTTAAAGACCAGTCTGGGCAACACAGTGAGACCCCCTCTCAGAAAAAAAAAAAAAAAAGGCCAGGTGCACTGGCTCACACCTGTGATCCCAGCATTTAGGGAGGCAGAGGTAGGAGGATAGCTTGAGTCCGGGAGTCTGAGACCTGCCTGGGCAATATAGCGAGACCCCGTTCTCCACAAAAAGGACAAGAAAAAAAACAACAACAACAAAAAGTCAACATGCCTTTGGGTATGTTCCCTGTAGCCTCTGTTATAAATCCTCGCTTCCCCTGGGGCAGGGAGAGGGCCTGGAGGGAGGAGACTAGGATAGGAAGCTAGGAAGAGGAGACTAGGAGAGAGGCTAGAGGTGAACATTCAGGGCTGCCTTCACCCACCCATTTATTTTTTCAACAAGCATCGTCATGGGGTCCCAGTCCCACCACTTACCCAGCTGTATGACATTGGGCATGTCACTGCACCCCTTTGAGCCTCATTTGTTTTACGGTGAGGACTAACTGGGTCAAATCCCTAGAAGGCACCTAGCACAGGCCCTGCCTCATAGTAGGTGCCTGTTAGTATTAGCTCACATCAGAATCTTGTATTATATCAAGGGCAATTAATCGAGTCCATTTGTTTGGAGTTTGCTGACTCTGGTGATGCTTGGAGCTGGGTCTCAATCACTGGCTCCAGGTCACCCAGTTGGAGAGTGACAGACCATGATAGTGATCAAAACCCAGTTCAGGCCAGGCACGGTGGCTCATGCCTGTAAGCCCAGCACTTTGGGAGGCTGAGACGGGTGGATCACTTGAGGTCAGAAGTTCGAGACCGGCCTGGCCTACAAAAAATATATATATATACAAAAATTAGTTGGGCATGGTGGCACACACCTCTAATCCCACCTACTCGGGAAGCTGAGGCACGAGAATCGCTTGAACCCAGCAGGTGAAGTTTGCAGTGAGCCGAGATCTCACCACTGCACTCCAGCCTGGGCAACAGAGTGAAACTCTCTCTCAAAAAATGAAATAGAAACTCAGTTCAAACTACAGCCTGTGTTTTGAAGGCATGGGAATTGTCAAAGGCCTCTCTTGGACCTTGTGAGAGTCTTGGGGTCCCCCAGGGTGCTCTTTCAAGCTGTCCTCAGGGCAATCCCCTTGTCTCAGGTACTAATCTGGACTCCAGTTCGTACCAGAGCCTTAAGTGCTAAGCAACAGCAACAGCAGGGCCAGCCCCCATCTCTGCCTCTTGGCTCCTGCTCACCCCTCTCCAACAGCTTCCCCAGTCAGGCATGGGATCTCCCTGTCCTTGAGGCCAGGAGAGTGCCCAGGGACGAGTGGGAGGGATCACTCCAGAATGGCTACTCAATGCCAGCCCTCAAGCCAGTGCCATGGATATCTCTGTCCAGGTCATGTTTCCAGATGCTTCGGAAGTGGGCAGCGGGAAGCAGCTCTCATCAGCTTCAGGAGGGCCAGAGAAGGGGCCCAGATACAGAGACACATTCAAGGAGGGGCCTTCAGAGCTCAGGACACAGGAGCAGAGGCCTCCAGCAAAACCAGGGTGAGCTGAGGGGCTTTCCAGAGAACAGGTCCAGGAGACAACGCCCTGTAGCCCACTTGCGAGGGAGAGAGAATGGAGAACTCCCAGGCCAAGGCAGCTCCACCTGCCACAGCACCTTGTCCTTCTCTTTCACTGCACCGGTTGCACTAAGGAGTTCGTGTTCACCTTTTGTCTGAACTCCCTCAACGAGACCACAAACATCTTTTGTGTGTCTTGTTTGAGGAGTATCATGTACCTGGTTCAGCCTCAAAGCCCTCGTGCCTAGTACTGTGCCTGACACATAGTAAATGTTCTATAAATATTGATTCACTAAGGCCGGGCGCAGTGGCTCACGCCTGTAATCCCAGCACTTTGGGAGGCCGAGGTGGGCGGATCACGAGGTCGGGAGATCGAGACCATCCTGGTGAACACAGTGAAACTCCATCTCTACTGAAAATACAAAAAATTAGCCAGGCGTGGTGGTGGGCGCCTGTAGTCCCAGCTACTCTACTCGGGAGGCTGAGGCAGGAGAATGGCGTGAACCCAGGAGGCGGAGCTTGCAGTGAGCCGAGCTCACGCCACTGTACTCCAGCCTGGGTGACAGAGCGAGACTGTCTTAGAAAAAAAAAATATATATATATAGATAGATAGATAGATAGATAGATAGATAGATTCACTGAATTAATAGAATAATGAACAAAAAAAAGGTTGGGAAACACAGGAACACATAAAAGATATACATGTAATTGTTTTCTAAATTTTGTATATATTTTTAACCTTTTCTACAGCAAGAATATATTCAAAAAGAGAAAATCAAGAGCGAGCCAAAGAAGGCAACGTGAAAGGCTTGGGTAATAGAAATAATAAAGGCTAGCTGGCTTAGTTGGATTTGACTATAACCAGAAGCTCCTAAATAGCCTCCTGTACAAGAAAAGTTAGGAGAGAGAACTCAAGCCAGGTCCGAGGCCCACTGAGACAACTACTGCATACCATGCTAGTGGAAACAGAAACCATTTAGGCATACCTGTTTCATCAACGTGGCAATTTTTTTAAACTGCCTTGAAACTACCTTTATCCTCACCCATTTCTGGAAATAGGCCATGAGGAAATAATTGGTGATTCAGGCAGTTTTATGCACAAAGATTTTCACTGTCACATTATCTTAAATACTAATAAATTGGCGCGGTGGCTCATGCCTGTAATCCCAGCACTTTGGGAGGCCGAAGTGAGTGAATCACCTGAAGTCAGGAGTTCAAGAGAAGCCTGGCCAACATGGTGAAACCCTGCCTCTACTAAAACTACAAAAAAATAAATAAATACTAAAAAATTGGAAACCCCTGAAGTGCCCACACAATAGGGAAATGGTTAATGATGGTTATCTATAAAATATGGAATTGTATACATTTAATGAATGTAAAAAACATATAAAGCATGTTTCTGAAGGATTTTTAGCATGGGAAAAATGTAGGCTATGATGTTAATTGAAGAAAGCAGACTAGGCCAGCCACAGTGGCTCACACCTGCAATCCCAGAACTTTGGGAGGTCAAGGTGGGAGGGTCACCTGAGGTCAGGGATTTGAAACCAGCCTGGCCAACATGGCAAAACCCCATCTCTACTAAAAATATAAAATTAGCCGGGCTTGGTGGCACATGCCTGTAATCCCAGCTACTTGGGAGGCTAAGGCAGGAGAATCACTTGAACCCAGGAGGCAAAGGTTGCAGTGAGCCGAGATCACACCACTGCACTCCAGCCTGGGCAACAAAAGCGAAATTCCATCTCAAAGAAAAAACAAAATATATATATGTGTGTGTGTGTGTGTGTGTGTGTGTGTATATATATGTATGCAATGGCCAGGCACCATGGTTCACGCCTGTAATCTCAACACTTTGGGAGGTTGAAGTGGGAGGATTACTTAAGCCCAGGAGTTCAAGACCAGCCTGGACAACATTGTGAAACCCCATCTCTACAAAAAATATGATAAGATTAGCCAGGCACGGTGGCATATGCCTGTAGTCTCAGCTACTTGAGAGCCTAAGGCAGGAGGATTGCTTGAGCCCAGAAGGTGGAGGTTGCAGTGAGCTGAGATCGTGCCACTGCATTCCAACCTGGGTGACAGAGCAAGACTCTGTCTCAAAAAATATAAGTATACATATGCATAGGAAGAAGCTTGGAGGAAATAAATACTCCAGAATACTAAAGTGAGATCAGATAGACACAGCTTCAAATTTTGAACAGTTATCTTTAGCTTTATGACCTTAGGCTCAAATCTCTTGTCTTCTCTGCATCCCAGTTCTGATTTTTGTTTCATTTTTTTCTGAAAAATAGTTTTAAAAATACTATAAACCTTAAATTCTAGGCTGGACGCAATGGTGCACACCTCTAATCCCAGCACTTCGGGAGGCCGAAGTGGGAAGATTGCTTGAGCCCAGGAGTTCAAGACCAGCCTGGGCAACACAGTGAGACCTTGTCTCTACAAATAATTTTGAAAGTTTAAATTTTAACTCCCCAAAACATTGACATGAAAGTATCTATGATTTGGGGAATTCCTGTGGGTCCTCCATTTGTCCCTCCAGGCATTAGGTATGCACCTATGGTATGCCTAACCCTATAAGAACATGGAACAGTGCCCCAGTCTGGGAGCTGAAGTGTCACTTTGTCTATTTTCTCCAGGAAGAAGCAGTCCTCTTGGGTCCCCCAGGAAGGGTCCCAGGAGCTGCAAGCAGGCCAGGATCAGAGTGAGCTAGGGTTGCTGCCTTCCTGGGTTCCTGAAGGACCTGAAGGGCTACAGCAGCTGGGCTCCGGAAAGGAGATCGAGGGCCAGCAGAGGAGGCAACGGAACCGGGGAACCGGGGAGGATGAGCCTCCTGAGAGCTGCCAGGTACCCTCCTAGGAGATCTGGGAAGAAGGGTATGGAATGACCTACCACAGAGGAGGTAAAAGAGCCCCCTCCCAGCATGCCCTCCATTCTGGTGCATGTACCTGTAGTCCCAGCTACTTGGGAGGCTGAGGCAGGGGGATCCCTTGAGCCCAGAAGGTCAAGGCTGCAATGAGCGGTGTTCAGGCCACTGCACTCCAGCCTGGGTTACAGAGTGTTTGCTCCCCTCTGTGCCCTGAAGATGTCAAGCACTCAGTCTGTGGGTCACTGGACTATTCCCCCAGCCTACATCACAAGCATTTAAGTCTTGTTTCCAGGCCGGGCGTGGTGGCTCACGCCTGTTAATCCCAGCACTTTGGGAGGCCAAGGTGGGTGGATCACAAGGTCAGGAGATCGAGACCATCCTGGCTAACATGGTGAAACCCCGTCTTTACCAAAAATATATAAAAAAAAAAAAAAGACCAGGTGCGGTAGCTCACGCCTATAATCCCAGCACTTTGGGAGGCCGAGGCGGGCAGATCACGAGGTCAGGATATCGAGATCATCTTGGCTAACACAGTGAAACCCCGTCTCCTACTAAAAATACAAAAAAATTAGCCAGGCATGGTGGATGGCGCCTGTAGTCCCAGCTACTCGGGAGGCTGAGGCAGGAGAATGGCGTGAACCCGGGAGGAGGAGCTTGCAGTGAGCTGAGATTGTGCCACTGCACTCCAGCCTGGGCAACAGAGCGAGACTCCGTCTCAAAAAAAAAAAAAATTAGCCGGGCGTGGTGGTGGGCACCTGTAGTCCCAGTTACTCAGGAGGCTGAGGCAGGAGAATGGCGTGAACCCGGGAGGCGGAGCTTGCAGTGAGACGAGATCACGCCACTGCACTCCAGCCTGGACAACTGAGCAATACTCCATCTCAAAAAAAATAAATAAATAAAAATAAAAATTAGCCGGGCATGGTGGCAGGCGCATGTAATCTCAGCTACTCGGGAGGCTGAGGCAGGAGAATCACTTGAACCCGGGAGGCAGAGGTTGCAGTGAGCCAAGATCACGCCATTGCACTCCAGCCTGAAGGACAGAGCAAGACTCTGTCTCAAAAAAAAAAAAAAAAGAGAGAGAAAAAGAAAGAGATTCGTGTATTGTGTGTATCAACATGTTGTTCTTTTGGTTGCTCAGTAATATTTCCATTCTATGGATATACCACAATATACCACATTTCTTTTCTTTGTTTTCTTTTCTTTCTTTTTTTTTGGACATAGAGTCTCACCTTGTTGCCCAGGCTGGAATGCAGTAGTGTGATCTGGACTCACTGCAACCTCTGCCTTAGGTGGGAGGTTGAGGTGGGAGGTTCAAGTGATTCTCTCACCTCAGTCTCCTGAGTGGCTGGGATTACAGGCACACACTACCACGCCCAGCTAATTTTTGTATTTTTAGTAGAGACAGTGTTTCACCATGCTGGCCAGGCTGGTCCCGAACTCCTAACCTCATGTGATCCACCCACTTAGGCCTTTATTTATTTATTTTTTTAAGAGACAGAGTCTCACTCTGTCTCCCAGGCTGGAGTGCAGTGGTGTGATCATGGCTTATTGCAACCTCCGCCTCCTGGGTTCAAGTGTTTCTCATGCCTCAGCCTCCCAAGTAGCTGGGATTACAGGCATGAGCCACCATGCCTAGCTAATTTTGTATTTTTAGTAGAGACGGAATTTCGCCATATTGGCCAGGCTGGTCATGAATTCCTGACTTCAAGTGATCCACCTGCCCCTCGGCCTCCCAAAATTCTGAGATTGCAGGTGTGTACCACCACGCCTGGCCAAAACCCCTCTTTTTAAGGAGCCTCGTGAAGGATTCTTGTTCTTTGAAACATCCCTTGGAAAATCCCATTTAAGGCTGGGTGTGGTGGCTCATGCCTGTAATCCCAGCACTTTGGGAGGCTGAGGCAGGAGGAATGCTTGAGCCCAGGAGTTCAAGACCAGCCTGAGCAACATAGTGAGACCTCATCTCTACCAAACATTTTAAAATATCAGCCAGGCATGGTGACAGGTATCTGTAGTCCCAGCTACTTGGGAGGCTGAAGCAGGGGGATCCCTTGAGCCTAGGAGGTTAAGGCTGCAATGAGCTGTGTTCATGCCACTGTACTCTAGCCTGGGTGACAGAGTGAGACTTGTCTCAAAAAAGAGAAAAAAATAAAACACACACACACACACACACAAGAAAATCCTATTTAAAGGGGATCTTCTCAATTTTCCATGCTCTCATTCCACTCCCACAGGGAAGTGTGGTTCTTTGGGTAGGCCACGCCTTCTCTGGGCTTCAATTTCTTCACCTCTCAAAGTGTAGGAGTACCTGTGCTGCCTTCTAGGGGCACTGGGAGAATTAAGTAAGATGATGCCTGAAGTGCTGGGATCCTAGTAAGTGTGTCATAACTGGTCTCCAGTTCACCTGGAGCTTTGAGGTTCACCTGGGAACCAGGATGGACCTCCCCAGCCTTAGTGTCCTTGTCCTCGGCAGGGTCCCGGGTATCAATCCACCCTCGGTCACCAGGCAGACATGGTGCAGCCAGCAGAGCTTTGCTGCCCCTTGGCCGGCCGTGGCCAGCCACTGGGAGACAAGCGCCCCAGGGAGGCAGATGTCCCACACATCAGGCCACAGGAGGCTCCGCCAGAGCCCAGCCCAGGGGGACATGGGGACAGCTCTCAGGAAGCAATGCCCCCAACGTCCACGGTGGCTGCAGAGGAAAAGACAGCTAGCTCCTTCCTGCCATCCACGCCTGGACCTACAAAAACAAAAGGAGGGTAAGTCACCCTCCAGTGCCATTCCCTGTCCCCAACAAGGATGCCCTTCTGCTGAGTTTCAGGTGAGGTGAATTCTAGTCCGGACTGCTCCTGACCCGGTAGAGGACCTTGGGCAAGTCATGCTCCCCTGGGTCTCAATTTCCCCACCTGTGTAATGGCTGGAATACTAGAATGCTTGGTTCCGTGAGCCTGTATACATGAGGATGTGGGGAAATAAGGAGCCCCTGAGATGAGAAGGCCAAGGGGATGAGGCTGGGGTGGAACTGAGGGTCCTCGGGGCTGAGAGGGGAGGGCAGGGGGGCAAACCTTCAGCTGAGCCCTTCCCCCACCTGTGGGTTTCTCCTCTATTCAGGGGTGAGGCTGTGGAGACCCAGCCAGCACCGGGGCCTCTTCCTCCACCAGTAAGTAGGGCCATAATGGGGATGGGGACGGGCTGTGTAGCGGAAGGACAGGGGGGATCAGGAAGAGGAAAAGGGCAGAGGCAGATATGGCACGTCAAACCCCTATTTGGAGTCAAACTGAGGAAGGTGTGTGTGGCTGTGTGAAAGTGCACATGGATGTGCACGTGTGTGTGTGTGTGCCTGTGTGTCTGCATGTGTGTGTATTCTGAGTGGGCGTCAAGAATGCTCTTACACTCTGGAGCCCTTGGGTTCATCCCAGGTGGTGGCTTCTTCCCCATCAGCATGGATTTCTTCCGCCCATTTGCCCTCAGCCACAGCCACACAATCCAAAGTGTCCCTGAACACCTGGGAGGCTTCCCCAACCTCTCCCGGACACCCTCCCTGGCTCTGCCACTTCCTAGTTCTTTGACCTGACCGAGCAGCCTGCAAATACACAGTCACTAGCATGCCCTGCCAGCACCTGCCCTGTCTCATCCTGCTGTGTTCATTGGCAAACCACCCCCCCCGCCATTAAACCCACCTAGCCTTGTACCCATGTTGAGCAGCTCAACGCGGCTGGAGAACATCCTGTCTTGTTGATGGGTTTCACTTTCAAGCAGTAACCACTCAGGTCAGATGCTGCCGGCAAGTCTCACTTTTCCATGGCCACACCGCCCTCCCCTCTGCTCCAGGTCATCATTTCACAACAGCATCCCCCACGCCCCTCATCTCACCCGTGTGTCACCGACAAACAGAAGCATCAGATGAGAAGAAGCATTCCCAAACCCACCACACTCCCTGCCTTGATTTGGCTGCAATGGGAGCTGTGAATATGGGCCCCAGGTCCCATGGCTGTCTCCCCATTTATTCATTAGCTCTGGTCCCCTCCCCTCACCACATGATCCCTCTCTGCATTACTACAGGATGATTCCATCAGCATACAAACATGGCTTAGCCTCCACAATATCAAAAGCTGCCTTTCTTTATTTTTTTTCCTTTTTTTTTTTTTTTGAGACAGAATCTCTGTTGCCCAGGCTGGAGTGCAGTGGTGTGATCATGGCTTACTGCAACCTCCACCTCCCGGGTTCAAGCTAGTCTCAGCCTCCTGAGTAGCTGGGACTACAGGCGTGGACCACCATGCCCGACATCAAAAGCCATCTTTCTTTGCTCCCCTTTGCAGCACCATCCCTCAATAATTGTCCCCCTCACCTCCTCCGCTTGACTTTTCTCAACACGTCTCCATATGAGAGCTTTTATCGGGGTCTCCATAATCTCCATCTGGCTTATCAAATGGAAAAGCTCTGTCCTTACAGAACAGCAGAAGACACAGAGGCTCCCTCTCTTCTTCTCAATGCTGCCTTCTGCAGGCTCTGTGACAGCCCCAGCTTGGTTCTCCTCCCATGTCACTAGCGACTCCTTCCCAGTCTCCCTCCCTAGTTCCTCCTCATCTTCTCCACCCTCGGGGCTCCACGCTCTGGTCTCCCATCTCCATTCTCTGCCTGGATGATCTCATTCAGTCCCTCTAATGATTCCCAAACCCACATCTTCAGATGAGACTTTGCCTTTTTTTTTTAAATTGACACAGGCTAGAGTGTCAATGTTGCCCAGGCTGGAGTGCAGTGGTGCAGTCTCAGCTCACTGCAACCTCTGTCTCTGAGATTCAGGCGATTCTCTTGCCTCAGCCTCCCGAGCAGGTGGGATTACAGGCACGCACCACCTCACCTGGCTAATTTTTGTATTTTTAGTAGAGACGGGGTTTCACTATTTTGGCCAGGCTGCTCTCGAACTCCTTACCTCAGGTGATCCGCCCGCCTCGGCCGCCCAAAGTGCTCGGATTATAGGCGTGAGCCACCGCGCCCAGCCATAGACCTTGCCTTTAAATTCCATGTTCATATATACAATGGTCTACTTGAATTCCCTCTGGCTGGCTAGTTCACTTCTCAAACATGACCACAGCAGTCTTCTTCAGTCCAGCAAATGACACTGCCTTTCTCACCCAAGGGGCTCATGCAACCCAGCTCAAAATCACGTGATTCCTCCTTTTCCCTCGATAATCCTTTCACGTGTGTCAACAAGCCCTGTTTAGTGCTACCTACAAAATAAATCCTGAATCTGTCCCTTCCTTCCACCCCCTCTTTCATTACCCTAGTCCAAGCCTCATCTTCTTAGAATAAGATCCAAAATCTTCACCAAGATCCATAAAGCCCTATGTCTAGCCACTCTGGTCTGACCTCCAGCCTTTGAATACACTAAGCCTAGTCTCACCTCAGGGCCTTTGAGTGTGCCTGTGCCTGAACTCCTCCCCATAGACAGTCTAATGGCTAACTCTTTTGAGTCATCCACTTTTCAATTTCGACATCAGTTTTTCCACAAGGCCTTCCCTGGCCAGCCGATCTCAAGGAACCTGTCAGCCACACTCAGCCTATCACATGGCCCTGTTTTATTGTCTTTGTACTACTTTCTCCCTCTGACATGATCTTTAAGTTGTCAACCTATTCATCATCTAGAATGCAAGCTCCCTGAGGGCAGCCTCGCTAGTTGACTTACCCTCTGTGCTTTGTGCCTCAAACAATGCCCAGCACCTGGTAGGTACTCAACAGGAATGTGTTGAATAAATGAATGGATGGGAATAAGACAAGGTACCTCTCTGAACTGGTGAGAAATCAGATGAGAAATAGGAACTAGGCTGGATGCGGTGGCTTATGCCTATAATCCCAGCACTTTGGGAGGCCGAGGTGGGTGGGTCACCTGAGGTCAGGGGTTCAGGACCTGCCTGGCCAAAATACAAAAATTAGTCAGGCATGGTGGCGTGTGCCTGTAGTCCCAGCTACTCAGGAGGCTGAGGCAGGAGAATCGCTTGAACCTGTGAGGTAGGGGATGCAGTGAGCCAAGATCGCACCACTGCACTCCATCCTGAGCAACAGAGCATGACTCTGTCTTGGAAAAAAAAAAAGAGAGAGAGAGAAATAAGAACTATTCCTTGCCTGTGCGTTTCCACCTTTTCCCCCATCCCTACCCCATGCACAGAGTGGGCTGGATACTGTGCAGGAGAAGAGGAGAGGGCACAATTTGGCTCCGCAAGTACATACTGAGTCTCTGTGGCATACCAGGCCCAGTGCTTGGAGGGAAAGGACAAGGAAAGCCGGGGAGGGCTCCTGCTCCCTGCTCTGGAGGATGCAGCTGAGCTGGTGGCACCACAAGAGATGAGAGTCCTGGACAGGAAGTCCTGCAGGCACTCAGAGGACCCCTGGGACCATCGGGTAGCTTTCTGGAGAGGGAGGACTGGTATTAGACTATACAGAGGGAACGGATACAGACAGAGCCCGGGAGTAGAAAGGGGAGTAGCCAGGGATGGACGCGGTGGCTCACGCCTGTAATCCCAGCACTTTGGGAGGCCGAGGCGGGTGGATCACCTGAGGTTAGAGTTCGAGACCAGCTTGGCCAACATGGGGAAATCCTGTCTCTACTAAAAATACAAAAAAATTAGCCAGGCATGGTGGCAGGCATCTATAATCCCAGCTACTCAGGGGGCCAAGGCAGGAGAATCACTTGAACCCGGGAGGCAGAGGCTGCAGTGAGCTGAGATCGTGCCATTGCACTCCAGCCTAGGCAGGGAATGAAACTCCGTCTCAAAAAAAAAAAAAAAAGCAAAGCAAAGAAAGGGCAGCCAGGCAGCAGCAGACCCATCACAAGGAAAGTTACAGAGATAGGAAAGAAGGTGAATGAAGACTGACAAATCTGGGCCTCATGGGACGAGCATATTGGATACGATGGTCAGAGCAGCTGAAAAGCTAGGCTGGCTGTGATATGAAGCATCCAGTATGTGAGGCAGGCTCACCATGTACTGGTTACCAACTTGTCTGAGTCCAGTGAGGCAGAATATCCACACATACATGTTATATAAAACGGGTTTATTACTAAAGATGGGCAGCAAAGGACAACGGAAGCATAGGATCCACTGTGAGCCTGGCCCCCAAGGCTCAGGAAAGTTGTCTGGGGCAGAGAGAGTCTTGTCTACATGTGCCCCACTTGCTGAGGGACCCCAGAAAGCAGCTCACCCTGGGTTTTATACTTCAAGGTGACATGCTTTGCTGGGCTAAAGCCTTGAAGGCTGCCCTATTTCTGGGGCTCAGGGGAGTGGAACAGATAGATCCTGGGGGTATTGCAGCCAGTCCCTCCCTATCTTAGGATATTGCATTCCCAGCATATTCTTTAACTATGTAATCTTCAGAACTATATAATTCTTTAACTATATAATCGTTTTTAACAAGTGAAAAACGAGAGAGAACTAGGTGGGTCTAAGGCCCACCTGCACCCGGAGACCCGTCCTGCACGGTCCTAGAGTGGAGCATTTGGCCTTAGCACTCTAACGTCCCTCTTAACACCTTGCACAAAGCTGGAAGAATAAATACTAGATTAGAGCACCCCGAGGCTGGGGACTAGGCACCCCTGTATCCATGCGACTGCGCAGTGTGGCACAGGTGGATGAACGGATGGGCGTGACGGTCACAGGGAGCCCCCACAGGCTCAGGGGTAGCAGGGCAGTGACACAAGAGCTGCACAGAGGTCAACCCAGTAGTCTGTGCAGGACACGTAGTGCCAAGTCGAAGGGGCTCAGAGAAGGCAGAAGGAGGAATCCAGGTGTGTAAGGGCTGGAGAAGCTGCAAGGAAAGATGTCAGGGGCTTGGCACCATTATTCACCCACAGGCTGACTGCCTGCTGGGAGCAGACCTTGGTGCTGGGTCCTGAACTAATAGGACATATTCTGAGACAGACCCCTACCCACTTTGGGACTCAGAGTCTGTATCTGCGACAGGGACAGAGGCCTTGGACTTCGGAAGCCCTGTAGTCGCCAGAGGGCCAAGACGACAGTGAGGCTGGATTCATGGCCACCATCTTGGGCCCCCAATATCACAATGGAGCGGGAGCCCCAGAACTGCCTTTTTTTTTTTTTTTTTGAGACAGGGTCACATTCTGTCGCCCATGCTAGAGTGCAGTGGCACAATCTTGACTCACTGCAG